TGGATTCTTGTGTGGGTGGCCAAGATTCGGTTTTTACTAGGAAGAATCACTCACTACCTGCTGTAGTTGTTCAGGAGACCATATTCAATGTGTCCAATTTCAAGCTTGGAGTTACATGTCCTGCTAAGGAAGCTTTGGAGTTCGAATGCAACAATTTGTTTCAGCTCGCTTGGTATTCTTAGGTCTCTGTTAGTCCTGGTCATTATGTAGTGTGTGGATTCTTTTGGCAGCGTTCCACTTCAGGGAAGAGGTAGTGATCCTGACTATTGGGAAACATACAAATATGTTTCTTTGATTGGAACTCTACACAAAGTTATTAGGTTATTTGATCATGGTGGAACTTGGTTACTGTGTAATTCATTGTGGTTGGATCAACTCACAAGTTATATGTCTCATTTGGTTTTGTGGTGGGTGACAACAACTGGTTTGCTATTGTATCCACGGGCAGGGGTGATTGTCCCAATTTCAAAGGGCCATATAAGGATGATGGGAGGAAGACATTGAATATTACAACCCTTGGATGGCTTAGAGCTGCCAAGGATATTGCTTTCATGGATTCCGCTTACTATTGCAAATGATCATAATGGAACTATGGTGGCTTCACCATCCCTCTTAGTGTTGGCTGAAGATGGTAAAGATTTAAGTGCAGCGGCCAATAAGAACCTGGAAGCTCACAAAGCTGCTTCTCTGCTTGGAATTGGACACTGTTATTAGGTTGTTTGACCCAGGAGGAATGAGGATATTGAGTGATTTCGTTGTTGTTGGATTAACTCAAGAGCTTCATCGTCTTGTCTGCAAGGTGTTGGCTTCTTAGTTGTATGGGGGGTGTCTTGTCTCCACTTCAAAGAACCATACAAGGAGACTCAGGATGTAATGTTGGGAATTGTTTGGTGTGGAATTTCAACATGGCTGGGTGTTTTGGGGTTGTGATGTAGCTGTGATGGTAGTTGGTGAGCTTATGTTCTTGTTGTGCTTGTATAGGCTTTTGTAGTGTTGTAGCTTGCAGCTTTCCTCCCCTATGGGTCATCACTAATTCCTTCCTGTTATTGTTTTCAGCTTGAGGACAAGCTGGTTCTCAAGGGGTAGGGATTGTGGTGATTAGGATCAAAACTGTAAACAAGAATTAGTTTGGGGATCATTAGGTAATCGTGTTGTCCTATAAAGTGGGATTTTGTTGTAATTGCTAGGATATCGAATTACAGAACAAGAAATTTGGTTCCTTCTTTCTTTCCCTCTTCTTCTGCTTCTTCCTCCTCTCTGGTACTGCTTCCCTTCTTCCTCCTGTTCTTCTTCCCCAATCTATCCTTCTCTTCTCCTCTAATTCTTCTGTTCTCCAATTACGAGTTCAATTCCAATTCCAATTCCATTATGTGTAAACTTGCCGGGAAGATCCAGAGTGTTACATTCAATGTGAGGGAGGGAGGGAAAGGGTCGTTGTTTTTCAGGACAGGAGTGAGAAGATTCCCCTATAGGGAGGGAAGGAAAGAGATTAGGGAGAAATGGATGGAGTGGTGGAGGTACACTGGTTGTGATGGTGGTGGGAAGAATAAAAGGGATTGAAGAATGGAAATTGATTGGTGGTGAGGGTGAAAAATGGAGGCGGCAGCAGAAAAAGGTAGCGTGGGGTGGCCTGGTGGGAGAGAATTAGGATTTTTATTATTTTTATATGTATATTAATGGTAAAAGTGAGAGGATTAGGTTTTTATTATTTATATATTGATTAATGGTAAATTACTATAAGTTATTTGAAATTAAGTTATAAATCAGTTATCAAACTTTGCACTTATTACCTACTAGATTAGTGTCTGCCTGTTGGACGGATATATTTATTCAATGATATATTTAACAATTGTCGAAACAAATATAAAATTGTATTTGATATGATAAAAGAATTCAAATAATTTTATTCTAGAAACAAACAAAAAAGAACATGCATTATAGAGTTTTGATTAAAAACTTATATCCTAACCGATTCATCCACGTAAGGATGAAAGTGAAAAACTAAACCTAAACCAAAGAACTAACTTATAATTAAAAAATTATCAAATCAAACTGAACTTGGATCTTCACCATCAATGTTCTATTTCTCCTTTACGCTTGCAAATTTGTTTCCTTCTTGCAAATTTTTTTAATGGTTTGATCTATTCTCTTCAACTTTTACTTCATAGGAAAACGGAGGATGCGAGCATGTTGGCATTCTCAATCGCAGCGCCAAAGACTTCAGCGGACCGAAGAGATGCAATCTACAAATTAGCTTCGGTTCAAAGCTCTTGCGCTCTATCAAGTATGTGGTAAAATCTCGGTCTCCTTGGTCTAACTTGGCAATGCGAATTGAATCTCAAATTGCCTTGCATATTAGATGTCTAGTATGTGATTGAGAGTTTCTTTCACATGCCATGTGCAGTCGGAAGCAAGCGAAGGCCCAAACAAATCTTTGGATGTACCAAACCCAGTAGCCAAGATTGAACTTTGGCATCATTTTGATTCTAGCGATTAATCTGTTCTTCTACAGCTGGAGCCACCGGTCGCGGTCTAGAACCATCAAGGATGCATAGAAGCCCTCTCCCTTCAACAAAGACACAAAACTAGAACTCCCATAGTCCGAAGTTCTTCGAATTCAGCCGAATCGAAATCCTAGTCAGACACTGTGGATGAAAACTCTAATACTATGTTTGCTGACATGAACGAATTTAATGTGGTATCCCTGGAATGTCAGGACTAATCCACGTAAGACTTTGTACTCTCCAAGAACAATCTCACTATCTTTCTAGCATCCGGCGGAGGACAGTAGGGCAAAATATATAACTCCCAGCAACCCTAGCAGAACAACAAGGCTCTTGTGCATGGGGTAGTGCATGGGCTAAAGAAATGGGCCAATGACATAATGGGGCACCTATTTACAAATGGGTTGTGAGCTTGTAAACAAACACCTATCACTAACAATCTTGTCATTGCCCATTGGAGAAGAGGTTAGGGTTGTTCCTACCATAGAATGGCAAATAAAGCCCTGTCTTTGTCTTTATTAGACTTTGATCGTTTGATTTTTTAACCTATCTGATGTTGTAGTCGGGCTGGTGACTCTTGTACATGTTGCGTATTTCTTTGGTCTTTGTTTCTATCATGACATTTCTCGATTAAAAGTAAAAAAAGCATCACACACGTCTTGCAAGTTATTCAAACACGACCTTCCAGCCCTTTATTGCATCAGTCACTAACATGCTAAAATTTACAATTGACAAGGGCTACAAAATTTACTAACCAAAGGGGGAAAACAAATTAAAATAATAATGTAATACCAAGAAATAGGCAAATAGAGCATTGTGAAGAGAATTAGGCACAGGCGGGAGAATCAAAATTAGGAAACACTATGAATGAAATGGATAATGAGCTTATATATAGTGGAGAACTCAGACGGGAACGGATGGGTTGGAGATTTGGGATGCCTTCCTTCTCTGTGAGTTGTAACTGGATACCATTTAGAAGCATGGTTTTGCTTTGAAGGTCCCCATCTTTGGGACTCATATGGTACTCTTCTCGGAACAATGACCCGTCTGTCACTTCACTTCCTATCCACGAAACCGATCTCTTGAGGCTGTTAACAAATGAACTGGCACCATCACTTGTTTGCTGCAGATTCTGCTTCAAGTTGGACCTGCTTCGTGCCTTGACTATGAAGTCGGTGTTGTTGCTCATGTTGATTAGCAATAAGGTAATGCCTGCCTGCATGTTAATTCCAAACATAAGTGTCAATGATACAGAGCATTTACAAGAGAAATAGGAACCCGTAGTTTAGAGTGAGTAGAACACTTACTCTCCCTTTGGAGCAGTGAGCATAATAGCGTAGATAAGGTGACGCCGTAGTGGGTCACACCCAGGACAGTTTTCCCCATCAGACGATGCCAGAGAAGGGCACTATCAGATACCAAACATCAAACAATAACACAAGGGAGTGGTTAGGCCTCCTTCCCAAAACTTAAAAGAATTTACAATGAAACTGAAGAATTTTCAGCACCCTTGCCTGTAGTAATCAGGATTCGGGACGAATGTTGTAGTGTTGAGCAGACTATAGTGTCCACCTACTAGGGTCTGCCTGCAGTAGACTTTCGTATTGTATGCAGCTGCCATGCCAAGCTGATCCAAGTACCTGAATATAAGGACAAATTGAGGATACAAGAAACGAAGTTTCAAAAATGGACAATCTTTTGAGAAAAAGGTTCATGCCATGGCAGGTGAACTTACCAAAAGCTGTTTACAAACGTATCAGATACATGAAACCCACCGCTGTTAAAAGCACCACCAGATTTTCAACCCATACTGAAGCCCAGGGACCATTCTGTTGAATGGTTTGTGACAGGCTGCTGAATGTCTTTGACACCTTGCTCAAATAATATGGATCCAGTATATGCTCAATGAGGTGGTGATCAACACCTGGAAATAAAGATGATAATAAACTCCTAAGACCAAAACACAGGGAAACTTCACTTCTTTATATTTTCAAAATCAGCCACAACAGCTCTTTGATTCTTGTGTTGACCCACCTGCTCCCAAGTTGTACATATGATGAGATACTGTGTTAAGTGTTCCAGGGCCCGTAATCTTAAGAAGCTTAGCAAACCAACCCTGCTCGAAGAAACCTCCAGGTGCCATAATTGAAGGTTTCTTGTTCGAGTTCTTGTATAACGCATCCACAATTTCATTAAGTTTGACCACATCTTTTGCATAGGTATCAGCACTAACACTTGCACCTATACCAGTTCCACTCAACTCGTTACCTGCAATCCAAATTCAATACCAACAGTAAGTTAAAAGATAATGCATTAAGAAAGGATAAAAGACAGTACATTTTGCAGAGGGTTTCATACCAAATTCCCATGCTTCTATCTTGTATCCCTTTGAGATGGTATAACTGATGAATCATGAGCATTAGTAGAATTCCAAGGTCCTCCCCAAACCTTATTCTTGATCTTGTGCCTTCCATGAAGAGCATTTAAGCCGAATGAGATTATGGCTCTGCCACAAAGTGAAGATGATTATGGTGTGTCATTATCCAACCAAGAATTATCAACTTCATGAAACTCTATCATGCTATCAATTCATGCGAAAGATAAAAAGAAGTCCATTCAAGCAAACAACACTCACCCTGTCTTGCTGAACAAGTTGTTTAGTGCATCCCATCGGTCCATGTTTAGGCATCCCTTTGAAACCCAAACAGCCCACCTTTCATTTTGAAAAAAGAATGACAAGGAGAACCCAGATTCCCAACATCATATAGAACTTGGTCTTGCAAAGACCCTCCTATTCTTATCCTCAATGGCCTGAAAGCTACAGAGCAGCGTATAGATTGCCAAATGAGTTTTCTAGCCAAGAAGTGCAGCCAGTGTTGCTTTTAAGCACATAAATTACTTATCAATCAGAAAATTATGCAAACCTTCGATAGCTTTGACAAGAAGAGAATGAGTGACATCCTGTAATGAGAAAAAAAATATATAGAGCAGTCATTTTTACTATGATTTTTCACATCATCTAAGCTGGAAGCGGATGAATTGCAGAGCCCTACCAAATTTACAACAGAAGTATATTCCCATGGGCAATGATTGTAATCACACTTATCGTGAGGCCACCAATCTATTGTAGCACAAACGTAGTTTTCATCAGTCTCGGCAACTGTGATAGTTCCATCAACCACTACTGTGGCAGGCATAATCTCTGGGGCAGCATTCACATGGAGGAGAAAGGCCAAAGAAAGGATAAGCGAGAAACTCAAAATCCCATCTGAAGAAGTTGCAGCAGCCTGGATACCAGCTCAACTTACTCAAAAGAACTGCATTTGAAAGATACACAGGGATGATTGACTTGAGTAACAGTCGCTGTTAATATAGTTGGCTCATAATATATAAATATGCCTCAGAATAGCCTGTGGCTGTAATGCCTATGTCTAACTCGGACGTAACTGAACAAGCCTACAAAATTCATAGATGAGTGTCCTGAGTACCAGTTGGGCAATATAGCTGGCTCAGAATGAATCAGAACGAACCTACAAATTCTATCATAAGCAGAGATAAATTTGCTTCTCGAAGTCTAGCAAGTATGAATATAGACTATATGATTGTTCATTGAATGGTAACAGAACAATATTTTCCGGTGCCAAGATGGATTCTCTAGCTACCAATGTATTTTGATGTGTCAACTGGACAGGCAAGGGAAGAACAAGAACATGATTTCTTCACTGCAGTAAGAGAGAATTCCCTACAAGATATAAGGAGACCTGACTTGGTTCATGAATAGTTTTGTGTTTTGATTTGAGCTTTCAGTACTGAAGAACATGACGAACATAAGGTTATGAACTTCTACATAGCCGTAGGCCCATATCTGTTAAAGAGCTTCCTTCAATCTGTCAAGGACACCATAAAAGTAGAAGCAAAAAGGAGCAATAGATCTCCTGACCCGATTATGTAGCTTTCAAATCCAGTAAAAACTAAAAACTTTTATATTAAATTTTACAACCCCCAATAACTAATTTCCTGATAAAGCAACTTTTAACTGGAACTCAGAACAATAGCCAACTGCTCAAACAAAAAACAAAAACAAAAACTACCCAGGCAACAGATTAAATGAAGCAACATATCCAGCTGAAGCACACATTCAAAAGAATTAAGAACAGCCCAGATGGAAACTCACTTATCCAAGAAGCAATGGATCACCACCATCACAGAACAACAGTGAATCTCATTCTTCCAATACCAACTTCGGTTCAATAAATGGGGTTCGCCAAAGGGCAAATAAGGCAGTGACTATGAAAAGTCGAAAAGGGTCTGCACTTACTAGTTTAAACTAGCCCGCTTTTGGCAATGGACCTCTTAACAGAAGTCCCCACATCAGAAATCCGAAAGCAACCCACACCAAGAGAACTCGCGAGGAGAGAAGGGTCGTGCTCGCCGGTTTGGTTGGAAATGCGAGGTGGGTAGGTGGGGTGGGGCTGCGTCTGCAGGAAAAATGACTGTGAGGCGAATTTGGAAGGCAGCGCCATGAGGAAGTTTATTAATATGTTGGGATGGGAAGAAGGAACGATTTGATTAGGTGGGTCAGCACAATTGATATTGGAAGCTTCTGCAAACCGTGTCGATGGAGGCAAAATTTTGAGATGTGGAAAAAGGAGGGAATATTTGAGATGAGGTGGTGGGAGAAGGGAGATCTGGCTGGCAAAGCTTGCTGGTTTTTCGATCGGAAATTGATCCACACAAGCCTGCTTAGCTTTAACTGGTAAGGTAAAACATTCTTCCTCCGCCCAGCTCACGTCATTCTCCATACCTGAGCTGAAGAAAGGAGGGTTATTCACTTATTCTTTCTTCCATTGACAAATAATAAAATAAATAATAACACCGATTGTGTTTTCTGGAGGATGCTTCCTTTTGTCTATAATTGTCGTTGCGGTGTATTGTTTGCATCTCAACAAATCGAAAACTTATCAGATGAGGTCTCCCTGTCAGCTAGCTTGCTGTCCCATTGGCATTTTCCGAAGTGAATAATTTATTAACGGGTAAATTTCACGGTTTGATCACTGGATTTACCAAAGAGTGTCATGTTTAGTCACTAAAAATATTTAATTCAAATGTTGGTTACTCGAATTAGTAAAACGATCCACGTTTGGTCATTCTCTGTTAGTCTCTGTCAAACTCTGTTAACGGAGTACGTTATGTGCTGACGTGGCAAACAAAATCACCTAATGAGCGTAATTTAACCTGAAAATGATGAGACACGACCAGGCACGTCACTCCAACTCAACCCCCTCTTCCCTTCTCCAATGTCTAACCCTTTTCTTCCCTGACCTTTCCCCTTTCTTGCTTCTAACCCTTCTTTCCTGATCCTGCCTATTAACAGAGTTAATTTGTCCATGTGTCACACAAACCACTGTTCATGCTCCACATCAACCAAAATCACGTTCAATATTTGATGCTCTAGATATTATTAGATCATGTAATAAATGTATTTGTCTGTATACATCTTTTATACGCTTATAAATACTCTGTACATTATCAATACAAAGAAGAAGCTTGAGTTGGCTTTCTTACACAAGAATCAGCGATCCCTCCAATTATCTATTATGGTATCAAAGTTTGGATTTGATTCTTGTGAAGGGAAGCCCAGGAAGAAGAAAAGAAAGAAAGAAAAAAGATTCCGCTGTTGAGTTTCTAAACCATTCTTGAGTTATAACCTTTTGCATTCCTCTAAAATCCTTCATCCGTCTGTCAACCTTCATCCATCTGTTATTTGAGTCCTAGCCTTCTTTGGTCCTTTGTTATCTCTGCATCCATTTCCTAGTTTCAAGCTTCCAGAAAAAAGAAGAAGAGAAAAATAAATCCTTGTTTCCAGTCAAGTTCACTCACCGAGTCTCCACTTTTCGTATATGTGTGTTGAAATTCCCTCTTCCTTAGTTTAGAAACTCAAAATCCATCTCATGTCCTCTGTTTTGACGTCAGCAAGCCCCTCCAAAACAAACTTTGTTTCTCCACTTCTGGGTCTCGTACGCTCTATTGCCTCTGTTGATCTGCTTTGTCCCCACCGTCGATCCCGTCACCTACTGTATCTATATCCCATCTATTCTTCATATCTGCCCACCATAGCCAAGTCTCCTGCTCTTATAGCTCTGTATCGCCATCCGTTGCTGTTGTCTGTTGCCTACCGCCATCTCTTAGTCTCCTTGCTACCCGTCTTCGTCGGGTCTCTCTCTATTGTCGGGCAAGCCCTTGATCTGCTTCTCTCGTCGACCTTGTGGCAATATGCTTTGTTGTTTTCCTGGCTTCCAACATAACACCAACAATCTATTTATTTGTCCAACCGCAACTGCTCTAGCTGTTGCTACTGCCCCGTCGCAAGCTCCTCGAGATGTTATCCCGGGGTATGGCGGAGAAAGGAATGAATTAAAAAAATCAGAAAAGGGTAGATCTTTTTGCTATCTCGAGGATACCTGCACAAGAAAAAGCAGAGGAAGCAAAAGTTATCTTCAACATCTAAATCTTAATTTCTTTGCCTTTATTAGCCACAAGCCCACAACAACCCAATTCCCATTATTTTCTCTCTAGTCCCACCACTAGCTTTTGTGTTTCTTCCCACACCACACGTCCATACCACCTCCGTCTATCCTTTGGCTTTGTAACTTTGTTTATTCCATCACCACATACTCTGTTTTCGAGATTTTTTCTAGGAATAGCACCATTTAAAAAAATATCTACAAAAATAATATTCAACCCACACAAATTCCAAAAATAGCACCATTTATAGAAAAACGCAGGCGGAAGAAGCGGTTATGTAGAAAACGCAGGCGGAAGAAGCGGTTTACAGAGAAATCGCGTGGGGAAGGCATGGTCTCCGCTAGGACAGCCTGGGAACCGCCTAGGGAAGCTGTGATTTCATTAACCGTTGGATAAGGGAGCGATCCAATGGCCGAAGGGCCGGTTTCTCACCTCAGTTAACGCAAACCGTTCTCTAGGGAAGCAATTTATGTGGTATGAAAATTACAAAACCGCCCCTACAAGGGGCGGTCTGAGTCTTATATAAACCCCCTCCCCATATCCATTTTTTCACACCATAACCCATTCCTCTCTCTCTCTAAAATTATCTTTCTATCCATTCCCTCTCTCCCCCCCCCCCCAAACCTAGGAAATAGTGGTCTGTTGGTTGCGACTAAGTCTGATCTGCCATCAGATAACATTTATTTGGTTTTTCCTCAAAACCTGTCGAAACTCTGTCCGACTTATTGAAAAAATGGATGATGGTTCCAATTGCTCTTGAAGTGTCGTATGCACCACCTGTGGGACCACTTTCAGTCTGGATCCAACCCTAAGATGACAACTCTGATCCCGGCGTGGCGATCAGAGATGATTGTCAAGTTGGTCCTCATAGTGACGTGGAGGTGTATTTGTCTGAAGAACCATGCATAGCTTTCGGTATTCTCTCCCTCAACAATGGCGAAGGCTAAAGGAAAGACTTGTCTGTTTGCATCCGCTCCACTGGCAATCAGGAGACAATCCTTGTACTTCCCGGTAAGGAATGTTCCATCCACTTGCATCATAGGGACACAGAAGCCAAAACCATCAATAGATGGCTTGAATGACCCAAAAAGACGTTTGAAATGACGTTTGTTACCGGGCTTGGCGGCTGGATCTCGTCGTCTTGATAACCGGGG